TATATATATATAATGATGTATAATTACATATAATCATTGATATATATAGTTATGTACAAAATTTCTTATAAAAAATCAGATCGATTTAAATAAAAATGACAAATCTTGCTCAGTTTTTGCTGCCAATCAGGTTATATAGGTCAATAGACTGATCTGCTTGATTTCTGCCACTGGCTTTATCAGCAGATTCAGCAGATAGCCAAATGCGGACACAGATAGCTACGGTTTTGTAGTAGGAATCTACTCGAATTTGCAATTGAATTCGCAATTTGCTAACATTTTGCTATCAGAGGAGAGTTGAAGTCGTCTTATTTAAAAAGCTGAATTTGTCTCATCGTCTTTCTAAATTTTTTATCTATGTCCAAAAGCAATTAAGAGGATCCTAGTTATCTGTTTCATCTTTTATCGACTAAAAAAAATGCAATAATTTTTGTGTCACAATTCCTTTTTTTATAGATTAGAAAATTTTTTTTTCAGTATTAAAGAATAACATGTCTGTGGAGTTTAACCGAGATTAAACAAAATTTTTGAAATGATTTTCACTATTTCTTCTGAAGAAGAATAGAATGCGTTCTATTTGACGCTCGCAACGCTCATTATTATGTCATGTTGGTCATCAAATGCTGAACAAGAACAAATAATGCTCGCAAGCGTTATAAATCACAAAAGTTGTGATTATATTTGCTTGATAAAAGCAATTTGTATTTTGCAATTTGTATTTATAAAATGCAGTTCACAACTAATAGAACACACACTGTCGAGTTCTTAGAATTAGATTTAGCCTAATTTGGTATGCACGCACACATATGTATAAATTTTTGTAACGCATTTTCGTATCGAATTAGGGTATTGATGTAATATATAGTAATCAATTAGGAATTCGTACTGAAAGGTTTTTTTTTTAGTTCGATTCCGATTACGATTTAATAAAATATTGAATAAATGCTTCGATTTCAATTTCGATTTTTGATTAATAAATAATTTAAAAAATATATTATTTAATATAATGTTTTATGTATGTAATAATATGCGTGTAGGTATACATATGTAGAAATCACAATTGTAACGCTAATATAAATGCAAGAGAAAGAGGGAAGAAAAGAGAAAGAGACAGACTATAGACCGATTAAGACCGAAAAAAGAACAAAAAAAAAACAGAAAACTGAAAATAATTTTATCAGCTTAATTATAATTTCAGTATTATAAATTTCATGGAATTTGGTTTCAATTTTGGTTCATCTAAAAAAAAAATTATGGAATGGTTTTCTGTTTCGATTCCAATTTGGCCAAGATCCTTGATGTAAATACGTAAATCATATGTGTGCAAATCCTATTGAGTGACAAAACGCAATAATTATAGGATCTTTTTAATGTCCACGTCATAATATACAGATATCAAGATAAATTTAGATATATTAAGGAGAGAGAGATAAGGAAGGTAATTTTTCTAACTTTCTTCTCTAATGACTCGTAGATAGATATCATGTTCACATTTAACAAAAGTACATTCTGTTCAAGTCACCTTCATCTACGATAGTTTAAGTACTTACTTCTGCCCTGTAAGGGACAAATATTGCGCTGGCTAAATTCCCAGCAAGAGCACCAATAAAATAGATCAAAGCGATGCGCAACGAGCCTGTCAGTTTTTCCAAATCTCTCATCAAGAAGTATTGGATCAGCAACGTAATTATCAAATGGATGATTCTGAAAAAACCAATTTATATTGAAATAAATACATAAATCAAGAGTTCTTGCTTTTTAAATTAATTTATTCGGACTAATCAGTTCATTTTATTAGAAAAATTTCATTTTAATAGAAAAATAAATGTTTTTTTTTAATTGAATTAATGGCAAATTGATTTTACTTAGTGGGATGAATTTAATGAAATAAACTTCTAAAAAAAATTTTTTTTGTTATTAATTAATATGAAATCAATCACATATAAATTTTATGATTAAATAACGCATAAAATTAATGCATTTTATATCTTCAAAATAAACTTCATAAAATGCAATTTGTTATCAATTATTACCCGGCATGAAGAAAAATGGTGGTAAAGAGTCTGTAGAACTGGTCTGGCCATTCTGGATGCAAGAACGGTATCATTCCGCAGACATCGTGCAAACACTCCACCTGGGAGCACAGGGACGCTTCCTCGTGAAAGTAACCGTGGACAAAATCGCAATACTCTTTCGTGGTGATCCGACACATTCCGTGAATCCCGATACAACAAGGGTGACCGATTACCTCGCATACCATGTGCTCCGCCATCTTATCCTTGTAACGACCGATCGGAAAATTGGCGTTGCCCCGTTGACCCCCGTTTTTACTGACAAAAATTTTTGGATATTTTTCTTTTTTGCAACTATTTGATGGAATAATAGTTTTACAAGCTTAGATATTTCCGCAAATGGTTTTGTTTCATGTGAAAATATTTTATCATCTTTACTTTGGAAAATTCACGAATGAATACACTTGGAAGATTGGAGAAAACTCACCTGAAACGTTGGTTAAAGGGATTGGTTTTCCGACAAATTGGCCATTTGGTGATGTCGTCTGGCCACTCATATGGTGCGATGCTTGCCGGGGCATCGCAAAATTTAGGATCCAGCCCACAAACTGATCCACTGATGCGACCGCCAGGCCCGCTGTCTCCAGGTCCCCACTTCTTCCAGGTCGATATTGTATTCTGCGAGGTTGAACATAATTGCAATTAATTTCATTGCTAGCGAAGAAAGAATTTCTAAGACTTTATAATATTATTGCGGATACATTCAGTAAAAGTTAATAGTAGTAGCAATTATAAAAGTGACAATCACACAAGTTTTATCAAGATCAATTAAAAAAAATAAATTTATTTTCGGTCAATCAGATTTTAGCGGATCTTAACGGATCTTAAATATTTTATAATAAATTTATGTATATATCCAATTCCTCCACAAACTGCGCATTGAAATCTTTTTCGATTTTAAAATGCAAACATAAAAAAAACTAGAATAAAAACATCACATTTAAATTAATTAGCAAATATTGCTGAAGTCTCAGTGGTTAAACGGTAAAAATTCCTGCACGGAATATGAAAGACGTGATAAATCCCAACTGAGGCAATATTTTTTGAAATAAATTAAATTATTTATAGCTCTTAAGATACCATATTAATATTTTTCTAAGATGCTTATTATAGCTTATAAAAAATTATTAAATTACTTATCAATTTAATATGTAATATTACTATTTTACTATTAGTTCTGTTCATGACTATGTTTCAAGACCAAAAATTATTAAATAACTTGACAAAAAAGATTTTAGTGCGCGATTTACGAATTGAATTGTATGTAAATTCACTCTGAAATATTATAGTTCGAGAGTTAGTGAACATTTTGTCGTATGATTTCAGCAAACTTGATTTATTAATTTTATCGTTATTTTTATGCTAGAAACGCTAAAGCGATAGTCTGCCATCTGGCAGAGGCCGATCGGAATAAAAAAAATGATGTATTATAGCAACAAAGTTGATTTTTTGTTTTCTCTTTATTGTCCGTCAGCATGCTGTCAAGATGATACCAGTCTGTCACCTCCTCGAAACATGTAAAAAAATTCAATTTACTGAAATGACACAACACAGCATCATATTATTTTAGACTGGTACCATCCCGATAGTACGCTGACAGTCTACCATTTTATCATTTTTTATATTGTATTATAATATAATAAGAAAATATATTATATAATATAATAAAAATCAGCTTTGCTATGACATAATGCGTTATTTTTTTTTTTTACAAAATAAGATGACTCTCATCGGCTCCTGTTCTAAAAAGATGACGGCAGATTTCCGTTTTAGCAATTTTGAAAAATGACGATAAAATTGATAAAATTTACTGAAATAAAATGTAAAAAATATTCACTGGCTCGCGAGCTGTTAAGCATTAAACTCCACTTTGATCGAAAATAGGTTTTTTTTTCTTAATTGATTTATTCATAGTTAGACTTTATTTAAAGCTTAAATTTATTTTCAGATGCTCTACGAATTATTTCATTAGTTACTGAGCATCTAAAGATAAATTTAAGAAAGCCTTAAGTACAAGATCTAACTATAAATACGGG